ATAATGTCAGAAGTACCTTGGAAGGCAAGAGTCCAAAGAAGAAAGAGCAGTGATTATTTTGGTAACTGTGGCACACTCAGTTCCTAGAATTTAGTAATGCTCATATCCTGGACTTCATAATTTAGGAGAAGTTTTAGCTATAACTTGTAAAAAAAATAAAACACCCAGGGCCCTACTTTAAAGTTGCCTACAATAGATGTTCCTCTACGCTATGCCCCACTGTGCGATATACTTGCTGTTTCTGTGGCCTGTGTTACAGGTTATAGAATTCTTGCTTCTTTTCTAGCTTTCAGTAACAATGTTCATGATAGTTTCATATGAGATGTGACATGTAGGTAGGCTGCCCATACATAATGGTTGTTTGACTCTACTTAGTAAAGAATGAACAAATTGAAGGTAACAAAGTAATGATTTGAAATAAGCTATATTGGTTGGTATGTAAACAGGACCTAAAATGAAATGTTTGACAGATAAACTGATAAGTAAATCTTGACATACATGTTGAAAACGTGCACTATGGGTTGCAATAATCTGTTTAATTACATGTGTATTTGAAATATATTTTTTATCAGTATGAAATCACAAGTGATGCTAAGCACATAAATTAAAGTGTTCATTTCTGAGCAGCTGTTCACCCCTCCTTTTTTGTTTAGTTTGGGGGAAAGTGATGCGACTTTTTTTCAAAACAAACCATGAGCCTAGATAGTGCCTCCTACCCAAATTTTATGTTGTTCAGAGACCTTCATAAAGTATCTCCTACCCAAATTTTATGACGTTCAGAGACCTTCATAAAGTTAGTGATGATTTTCTCTCCTGCTTCTTAGCTATACATATGGAAAGTTTATTCAATCAAATGGGAGTTTGCATAATTTTTTTTACAGAAAAAATATAACTATGATATTAAAGCAAAGGGTCCAAAATAATAGTGCAAAGATTTAAAACATTTGGACTTACAGTAAAGTATTGAAATAGTCAATTATAATTTTTATTCCCTAGGTTTTACCAATTCTTGAGATTCTATATCATGTTGAAGAAAGAAATTCGCACCATGTGTATATGGCCCTTATAATATTGTTGATTCTAACAGAAGATGATGGCTTCAATAGATCTATTCATGAAGTGGTAAGTGATCGTTACTTGGATTAGAATTAGAGTTAGGGAATAGACATGTCCTTCCGCAAAACTGATTGCAGTCTTAGCCTTTCTTCTTTTTCTTCTTCTTCCTGGTAGATGTTCCTGTGAGAACCTGGATTAGAGATGGTGGGTCTTTCTTCAGATTTAGGAAGTGCTGCTTCCCCCCCATGAGTCACTGTTAAAAGCTCTCAGAATGGTTCCTTAGAAATTGATACAAATGTCTTTGCTGCTACTGGGTTCATTCTTCTCCACCGTTTCATTCCCACTTTTTAACATGGCACAAATTATCCAGCAGGTCTGTTCCTTGCATACAGGATGAGAGAAGGAATAGGGAACAACGGGAGAAGATTGAAAAGTTGTGTTCTATATGTGTGTGTATATATTTTAAAGAGCCTAAGGTAATTTAACTCTTTAAATTTTGATCCCCTTGGAGAGTTTCGTTCCCAGACTGATTTTATCTTTCTCTTCGGCAATTTCTTTGAGTTCAAGTAATGAGGCACACATAACGTAGTTTTAAAACTTACATAGAAGTGTGAGGTTTTAAAGAAAAATAGCAGATCCCTGTCCGCCCTTTCCTACTCCCTAAACACAAATACTTTCAGCCTTGTCCTGTTTAAAACATGCTTATATTACTATTTCTTAATTTTCCAGATATGCATATCAAGTGTTCCACTGGTCAGAGGTTCGATGTGTCATTGGCCCTCCTTCCTGCACCCTGTGCGTTCCCACTTGGTGCCCCGTGCACTCGCCGGCACGTAGACTTTTTCCTTTTTCCATCTTACATCATTTTTTGGGATAACTCAGCTTTTACATCATTGTGATCGTCTTAGCTGCTGTTCTTCACTCAACTGTGTCGTGGGCCTGATTCTGTTTCTCTTCTTGGACACGTTTTAGTGTCTCTGTAGCACCTCATTGCTTTATTTCTTTGCTTGTGACCCAATCATAAATTCAACCCCCAGTACTTAAACAGAACTGAAAATCCCCTCAAAATGTATTCAAACACATATTTCTTGGATTTTCTTGTTGTCGGCTACGCTGCAAGTTTTCTTGAGTGTTAGGTGATCCTGGCTGACCTGCTCATCTGTGGGAGCAAGCCCTGCAAAGTCACCTGCAAGTTGTCCGTGTGGGCAGGACTCACATACCATACCTTGCTCCACACAGCCTTTCTCTGTGACTTTTACTCTGTCTAGGAGTGTCCAACCTTTTTCATCTCTCTTACAGATGTACTTTTTAAGTCACGTACAGACACTTTTGCTTCCAAAATCTAAGTGATTCCCGAACTTAGGTATTTAAGGTTCAGATTGTAAGGGCAGTCTGGGTAAGTAATCCTTGGTTATGGAGTTTTGTGTTGCAAGATTCATGATAGTAAAGGTAGAGATCTATATTGTAACATTGTTTTTAATAGGTAAATAATTGGATATAACCTAAATTTTTATTAATAGAGGAATGGATTCAAAACGTGGTCTGCTTGTATACTACTCTATAGCCATTATAGTAGACCTGTATGTAGCAGTAATATTCGAATGATAGAACGAGTATGACATTAACATCAGACAATAAGAATAGGTATGACTGTAGTACTTTGTTCTCTGCTGTGTATTTCTTAGGGAAGTGGCTTGAGGCAGCAGCTATTTACTAATTTAGAAGTATTCCATTTTTTAAAATGACTGGTATTCAACTTCAGCATACTTTGTAAATATTCTTTTTATATGTATTAATTTAGATGGGTCACACAAACATATTGAATGAAAAAAATGAAATACAAACAAACACTGTGTGTGTTCGTTTCCATGAAGTTCTGTAACTGAGTACCACAAGCTGGTGATTTGGAACAACAGAAATTTATTATGTTCTAGAGTCCAAGGTCAAGATGTCCGGAAGACCTCGCTCTCTGTGAAGGCTCTAGCAGAAGATCCTTTCTTTTCTTTTCCTAGCTTCTGGTGTTCCTTGGTGCTGAGTATATCGCTCCAATCTGTGCATCTGCCATCACATGGCGTTTTCTGACATAGGTGTCTGTCTATGTGTCTCTCTTCCTGTTCTTAGAAGGTTACGAGTCATTGGATTTAGAGTCCACTTTAATCTAGCTCAATCTCATCTTAACTTGATGACATTTGCAAAGACCCTGTATCCATGGTCACATTCACAGGTTTTAGATGGGATAAATTTGGGGGACACTATTCTTTCTAATATCATATTATATATGATACTGTTTATGTATGCTAGAAAACACACAAAGTGTTGCTTGTTCTTTGTTTTATATATGTGTATGTATATGTATGTATGTGTGTGTGTACGGAGGTAAAATAATTGAAATGAGCTTGAAAGATACATACTAAACCCAACTCAGTAGTTGTCTCTCTATGGGGGAATAAAGTGAGATTTATATCTTAAAAAATAAAATGTTAGCAGTTGTTTATATGAATTATGGGAGTATGGATGTCAGTTACTGTACTTTCCTGTACCTATTTAAATTTTAAAAGTGTTGGTACTACCTAGTATATTACTGTGCAGTACTCTAGCACATATACTAAGTAACATATGGAATAGGATAATCAACAGAAGCAAATTACATGGGACAGCAAAGCTAAAAACTACGACCTAGAACTTCAAACGATTCTCATCTATGTTTTTGTTTTTTTGGAAATCTCTCTCTGTTACTTAGGCTGCAGTGCAGTGGCCTGAGCTATGGCTCATTGTAATTTTGTTCTTTGGGATGCAAGCAGTCTTTCTGGAATCAGCCTCCCAAGTAGCTGCGACTACATGCACACACCACCATGGCCAGCTAGTTCATTTATTTATTTATTTGGAGGTGGGTCTCACTCTGTTGGGCATGTTTAGACCTTGACGGGTTTCCTTCTAAATACTGTTTTAATTACATTAGCATAAAGTGGTAAAAATATATAAACATAGTGGATAAGCAAGATAATAGTCCACAGCTATTAAGCCATGTGAACACTGAATGCAAAAAATGAGCAGTTGTCTTTATAAGAACCAAATAAATAGGTCAAAGACTACAACTAGTTTACCAAGGAAATTTTCTTATTACATGTTATTGTCCCATGGGAAGCTATGCGAGCTTTATAATGGATTATTTATAATTTTTCTTAAAACATCACCGAGAATTTCTCTATAATACATTTTTCAGAGGAAGAAAAGACAAACTTTTGTGTAAATGCTAAACTGGATTTCTGATTTGCATCGTAACATTGTAAGTTTACCATATGGATATTCATTAACTATTTGTTGAATATTAAATGACACTTTTATTCAGAACACTTTCTCCATCCAGTTGTATAATTGACATTATACAAGCAGACATTAAGAACTAATGGCCTCCATTCCAAATATAGATGACCTGGGATAATTTATTTCTAAATAAAGGAGCCAAGAGGGGAGAAACAATGGACAAGGTTGGGGAGTTAAGTTCACAAACTCATCCTAGAAAAAGAGCTACACGCCTCGTTGCTGGATATGTTTACAGTCACCTTCAAGGTACTCCCTGTGGGAAGCTGTGCACCGAGGCCAGCATCTACTCCACCCTTCAAAGCCATTTTGGAACTCTTTCTGGAATGGCTGTCCGAGCTGTTGTCATACAGGGTCTGCCAGTTAAGTTTGCAGTCTCATCCCAGACAAAGTGCCACATACCTCATAGCTGAACATCACTATGGTCACCTTCAAAGTACTTACTGAGGACACCGTAGAACTGTTTTATATGGGTGATAGTTCTGCTTATTTGCTAAATTAGATATTAAAACTGGTCTATTTTAAAAGTACTTATGTAAGTCATTATAAAATAATAATTAAATCTCCATTACATGTTGGCGTCGATAACATTTTTTACAGAAATCACTGTTTTCCACAAACAATAATTTAGCGAGGAGAGTGGTGCTTTTTTTGGTATGTTTTTGCAAATGAATTGCCTTAACAGAAGACAAATAGATTCTCGTGTCTGCTTCTGTATTCAATTTGTTGGTCTTTCAAGACATGTCGCCTATGGGAAGTTCCACTTGTGAGAGAAGGAGAGTAAAAAATAATGTCTTAGTATTATGAAAGTAGTTTTGACTTCGAAAATTCTCCAGAAAGGTCTTGGGAACCTCTCTTTATCCCAGGATCACAAATTGAGGACTTCTGCCTTAGAGAATGCATCAGAAGCGTTGAACACCTCACTTGTTACAAAAATTCAGGTGGCAGAAATCAGTGCTTTGAATTTTTTCAGCTACTGTTATTTTACATGTAGGTTAATTCTTCTACTTAATTAATTGTTCATTTTTTACTTATCATTTTACAAGCAATAGTTACCCACCACATAGTGGGTGTTGTATGTCAGCCTGAGTGGAGACTGCAAGGTAGATCAGGGTGGGATTGTTTGCAATGTGGCTGCTGGTGGCATGGGGCCTGCCAGAGAGCGGAACTTGTAAACATCTGTGTAGGGAAGACCCCTGTGTATGCCTGCACCTTAAAATATGTTGACATGAGTTAAATTCTTCTTCATCTGTTTCTATACTGCCTTCTGATTTCTACCATTGTCTGCAATTTTTTTGGTCAGACTTGGGAGAAATATCTATTTTTTGATCTCTTAGAAGAAAAAAGTTACAACCATATATTATTTAGACTTAAATTTTCCTGATTTCATGCATTTACCCTGTTTTTGCTGCTGTTTGTAGCCCATATTCCCCTCTGGGATTCTTCTGGATTTGTGTTGGTACGCTCCTAAGGAGGAGTGCTGAATGCTTCCGTGTGTAGTAGTTGTTTTCCCCCAGAAATGGTGCATGAATGGTTCCTGGTGTGTTTTGGAGTACCTACCTCTTTATTTTTCCACGTGTGTGATAATTTCTGCAGGTGTAGAATTCTAGCATTACAATCTAGTCCCTCGAAGCCCTGTGGATAATGTTCTGTTTTCCTTCCTACATGTAGAGTTCAAGGTGAGAGCTCTAACGCTGGTCTGCTTATCTTTCCTTTGGTGATAGCATGTTTCTGCCTTCTGGAAGCAAATAGAATTTCCTCATATACTGTGAATTCATAAATCTCACCTGACTGTTTTGATTGTTTTTCAGTATTTCTGCTTGGAATGTTAAAAGTTTTCCCCCCTCAGGAATTTTCTCATGACAAATTTTTATGTTTTTCTTGTAGTCTGTTCCTCCTGGACGGCAGAGCTCCACTTTTCCCATGTACTTCTCAGTCTGGGCTTTGAAATCACAAATTTAATTTTCCTCCATGCTTCTTTCTCCTGTCTCCTAAAATACCCGCTGTTAGCAGTTTGCTTTATTCTTCTCATTTGTTTTCTGCTCGTGGAGTAAAGGATATACATATAGAAAGGAGTTTCTCAAACACAGTTGATCGCTTACATCAAAATAACCTTGAGCGAGTAGTTTTTTTTTTTTTTTTCCTTTCGAGACAGAGCCTCAAGCTGTCCCCCTGGGCAGAGTGCCGTGGCATCACAGCTCACAGCAACCCCCAACTCCTGGGCTCAAGCGAGTCTCCTGCCTCCACCTCCCAAGCAGCTGGGACCACAGGCGCCCGCCACAACGCCCGGCCATTTTTGGGTTGCAGCCGTCATTGTTGGGCGGGTCCGGGCTGGGGACTCGAACCCGCCACCCCAGGTGCACGTGGCTGGCGCCCCAGCCGGCCGAGCTATAGGCGCCGAGCCGAGCGAGTAGTTTTAAAAAGCCGATTTCCAGGGTCCACTCTCCAAAGATTCAGATGTTATAGGGCAAGAGTTAGGTCCCAAATCTGCCTTTTCCCCACGTGTCCCTGGTGATTTTTTGTGCACTAATCCCTTATACAGTGCTGAAGAGCATGTGCTTTAGAACAAAATAGGACCAAACAGATGTGAGACATTGGGTGCATTACTTGACCCTGCTGAGTCTTAACTTCATAGCCAGCTCTGGGGTCAGGTGCCTGTAGTCGCAGCTGCTTGGGAGGCTGAGGCAGGAGAATCACTTGAGCCCAGGAGTTTGAGGTTGCTGTGAGCTGTGACGCCATGGTACTCTACCCTGTGATGCGACAAAGTGAGACCCCCCCCCAAAAATTAAAACAGCATCTACATCACAGTTCCTGTAAGGATTAAATATGATAATACGTGCAAAGCATAATGTAGTATAGTGTATTATACATGGAAGTGCTCAATAAATGTAATAAGAGCTGAGACATAGAATGCTGTTTATCAGACACGGTTTTATGCACTTTACATAGATGAATACATTTGATGCTGGAATTTAATCCCTCCTGTGGAGACATTTAAACTTCACATTGAGAAAAAGAGGACTCAGAGGTGGCTGATGGATATGAACTATTGTTTAGAAGGAAAACAAAAAACTAATGATGCAGAAAATAGGTAGAAAATTTACCAGAACCACGTTCTTGATAAGTTCAGGATGGCACTTAGGGCACAAATAGGGAGAGGTACCTTGGCTAGGGCTGTGGACAGCCACACCTGGTGGATGGGCGTGGGGCAGTAGATGGACTCTTCTCTTCCGAGTGCTGCTTTTCTCTGGTGGAAGTTGGATGTCAGGTCATCAGCTGATAGTGAGGATGTTTTGAGGTTTTATAAAGAAAGGAGAAAGGGAAGAGATAGGAAATTGTTATCTGTGATGGAGGAAAAGTGAAGGAACTAAGGAAATATATGATTCCTGGGCAGCCCTAAGTGCCAGCATGAGACTGGTTGTCTCAAATTTTAGTTAAGATGATTCAGCATAGCTAAGGAAACCAAGATTCAGCAGGGTTGGGTGATGTGCCCAAGGTCTCACTGCTCACAAGCAGCAGGATCTTTTTGATTCTAAAGCCTTAGGTGCATGTGCTAATTAGGTGTAAAATAGGCTGCAACCATGGTTGGGGTTCTCCTGCAGGGGCATGGTAGAGGGAGTTGAGCATATTTGCAAGGAAGTGAGTATGATGAATGGTCACTGAATTTAAGCTGAATCAGGAGGGGAAGAACAGTGAAAAGGTGGTAGGATAGAAGTACTGTACTAAGGATTCTTGGAGTCCCAGCAAGAGAGACATAGCAGGAAAGCTGGGAAGTGGTAGTTGGAGGGCGAAATTAAACTTAGGCTATTACTAGTAGCAGTTATTGGTAATGAGAAGGGCTAAGCCCTAATCAAGGGAGAGAGAAGTTTACGTAGGATAGGGGATGGAATCATTGGGAAGAGGAGGTCAAGAAATGGAGAGGTCGTGCGTTCCAGATGCTTTTGGTGTCCCAGTAACATCCCCTTGACCTACTTCTGATTTCACCAGCTGCTACAGTGAACATTCCTTGCAAGTTGAGGCTCCTCCTGACTTTTTCCCATCCTCTCCTTTCTGCCTTCACCTCAGGGTCTTATCTGAAGGCCTAAGAGCCTGCTAGGTTCAATGCAAACACAGCAAAGTACAAAGAAAATACTTTGGGAACAGGGCTCACGCATGAGGGCTAGAGGCCAGTGGATAAGTGCCTCAGCTTCTGGTCCTTTGGTAGACAATTCTGTGGGATGCTTCCACTTTGTTCACGGTAGTGACCTTGATGGCACATTTGCAGAGGCTTTTCCTCCTTTCCTGTCTTACACTCCCTAGTCCCTCAGTCCTGCTTCCTGGGTTATCTTCCACATAAATCACCTGTATATCCCCTGAAGAATTAACCCAGAACTCTCTTCCCTTTTTGTGTATAGATAGAGTAGAATATGGTACATTGACTCTCTTGGAGTCAAGGAGAAAGGACACAGGAGTGATCTTAATGGAAGGGAACATGAGGGACTTTTAGTGTTCAACGGAACCTGTTGGTTGTGTTATTTTTCTTTGCATTTTACCTCCTTTGAGGCAGCTCAGATTTGGCTGCCCGACTTTTGTGTCTGTTTGTCTGTCTGTCTGAGTCTTTCTCCCTCCCTCTCTCTGATGCTCCTGTTACAGGTCTGCTGTGGGAACATCTCAGCCTGATTTGGAAAACCATCCTTGCTTGCTTAGGCCTGCAGGTGTGCACCAGCGCTGCCTGCTCTGCCACCCGAGCTGTAACAGGACACTGTGCATCTCTGGGGGGAGATCCAGGCTCATTCGCACTCTTTGCCTCTCTCTGACTGCTTAAAAGTCACCTTCAGAGCAAAGCCATGGCTTATCACAAATTATGGACATGGAGCAATTCTTTATTTTTAAAGCAATCACTTTTACTTCAACTTTTCTTCCCCATTGCAGATATTAAAAAATATTACTTGGTACTCAGAACGAGTTTTAACTGAAATTTCCTTGGGGAGTCTTCTGATACTGGTCGTGATAAGAACCATCCAGTACAACATGACGAGGACCAGAGTAAGTGTTCCATAGCTGCTTTTCTGTCTTTTTGCAGACTTTAGTTTGAAGCAATCCCAAGTTTTAGAATGCCAAAATTCTCATGAAATACAGTGAAAAAATACAAATGACACATAGTCACTGTATTTCATGATCCTAACGTAATGGAGTATCTGTTTCTTGATATTTAATGGATTGTATGATCAGAATTACTTTACATGAAATAGAAAACAGGCAACGTGGCACGTTCGGATAAAAGCTATTGTATATCTTTGCTGGCCTGATGACAGTGATTTGCCGTTTAAAAGCAGCACACAACAAAGTATACCTTGGTGAGAGCACTGGGAAATACGAATCCAAATGTGAGAGAAAAGTAGAAGAGAGACAATACTTGAAAGAATAAGAAAAATTTCTACTGGATTCTATTCCCAGTCCCTGGGAGTACATTTCAGTTCGTACCCACGAGAAGTGATCCAGTTTACTGATGGGTTTTCAGTCATCTCCTTCTGTAGAGCTCATGTATATACGTGTCTCAGTTTTTTATCTGAAACCCTAGGAGCCAGATGTGTTTTCGAAGGGAGAATTTTTTGGATTTTAGAAAGATAATTGTACTTTGTGTGCTTTATGATGCGGAACCACTAGGGCCTGAAGCCCGGTGCTGTCATCACACAGTGGTGTTTCTGCAGCAAGATGGTCCACTATGCAACACGGTGGGAATAAGGAAGCTCTCAATAACATCATAATTTTTTATGTTGCTTCCAAATGAGTTGTGAAAAAAACCTCGAATTTTCAGTGCGTTATGGATTTGGGAATTAGAGAAAAGGGATTGTGGGCCTGAACTTTGTAACATGAGTTAACAACTGGTTTACATTTGCTTCTGGGTAGCCTTGATTGATATACAGAAAAGGCTTGATGTCTGTTTTATCCTTGTTTTCTGACAGGACAAGTACCTTCACACAAATTGTTTGGCAGCTTTAGCAAATATGTCGGCACAGTTCCGTTCTCTCCATCAGTATGCTGCTCAGAGGATCATCAGGTAAATAAAAGAAATACTGATTTTTGCCTTTTGGCTGATCTGTTAAGGACACCATGCTTGTTCCTTTTTTGATGCTATCTGTAAGGAAAACCATATTTTCCCACTTATTTTTTTTTTTTTATCACTTTCTTATTTGGTTAAAAATATCTTGTTCGGTTTTGTTTTCTAACCCAACTTTCTGATCAAAGTTAATTGCATTTACTTTCAGTCTTTTTATAAGATGTGGTTTTGAGTGTTGTGTTGTCAGCTTTTTACGGGAGAACAGGTATATTTCTTAGTCGCATTTTGCCCTTGTATGAGTTTTCTATGGCTGCCGAAACAAATTGCCACAAATTAGTGGTTGAAAACAATGTAAATTTGTTAAGTTACCATTTTGTAGGTCCAACGTGGCTCTCACTAGGCTGAAATCAAGATGTCAGCAGGGCTGCGTTTCTTTCTGGAGACTAAGGGCAAACATGCTTCCTTGCCCTTTCTAGTGGTTTGAGGCTGCCTGCATCCTTGGCTCATGGTCTTCTCCTCCATTGTGAAAGCCAGCAACAGTAGGTCGAGTCCTTCTCACATCTCGTCACTCTGACCTTCTCTTGTGGTTCCCTCTGCCACTTGGAGGACCCTTGTGATTTCTCTGGCCTTCCCTGAATAATCCAGGAGAACCTTCCCATCTCAAGATCAGAATCATAAGTACAAAGTTCCTTTTGCCATGGAAGGTAACGTGTTCCCAAGTTCAGCAGATTAGATTGCCAACATTTTACGGGGAGCCATTATTCCCCCTACCAGAAACCTCTATCTCTTCCCCACCCTTTGCCAAAGTCTTTAAGTGTAGGGAATCTAATTAACCAATTGTAAATGAGTATCATTTGCAATGATCTTTAACGTATAGGGGTACTTATTTTGTCTTCTGATAGGATGCTCGATATTGTCCCGGCAGGTCTTGGGTAGAACATTTGTTATATAAGTCAGTGAAGTCATATTGTTTGCTTTAATTTTTGCTTGTTAGGGAAGTGCAGTCTTGTCCATTGATTTTTGTTCTCCGGTCATAAATGATCACAACTCCATGTCACTTCTAAGCTGTGATCTCACATTCTGTCCATTGGTTAGATGATTATTGGACCTATTTTTAACAGTTACTCAAAATTAACTTATTTTTTTACCTATTTGTTTATCTTCAGAATTTAGTAGAAGATATTTGACATTGACTCACAATTTAATTTATGCCTGGTTTTAATATATTCTGATGGATTATAGTTTGGGTTTGTACTTGAGAGATCATCCAGTTGGCTGATTTTGGACTAACATGAACTTCAGCATTTAAAATAAGCATAGCAGTTTCTTTATACCTTGTAATCTTCTAGGTATTCTGGAATGCCTAAATCCAAAAGTTAACTTTTGTCACTGAGCTTTATTTCAGCATGACAGATTTAATGATTTCTGTGCTGCTTTCTAGTCTGTTTTTCTGTTTATGTGTTTTGCAATGTTTTCATGATGATTCATCATAAGATTAATTTTCCTCAATTGATAAATGAACAGTTTGTCTGTTCAGTACGAAAATAACTGGCTCAGAATTTAAGTTCTGATAAAATGTATTAAACAAAATTAAATAAAAATTTCTAGATACGAGAGTTGAGAAAAATGCAAGTAAAGCACTGTGTTCACTTTTTTATGTGTAATAACAAAAATATAGAATAAACCAATCATACTTGGAGAAATAAGAAACAATTTAGATTTGTGATATGATGGTATTTAGACTGTTACCATTCATTAATGAGTAGTGCTTTACTTCATTGTAATGGCTTTTCTGTAGCATTATGTGAGTGAGAAACTGTGTTAAGCAATGCAAAGGATATCAAAATAATTAATAAAGATTCCTGCCCTCAAGTAGCTTATAATTCAGTTACAAGGATAAGACAAGGACCGTCCTTGTCTATATAAGATACAAGGATCTTATACACAGCAGAATATGGTAGTTATTATAATGAAACAAAATCCCAGTGGTGGGGGAAAGTGGATGGTTAGATTATATCTCATTGAGAGATTGGGCAGGGTGACCAGAGAGGATTAGCAGTGGAGACTAGCTTTTCCAAAAGTGTCAGTTACAACAAACCAAAGAAAAACAGGAAGGGGGTGTAATAAGAGAGGATGCTTTATAGGTAGAAAATAACCAGTCCCATTTTATTGGTGGTGTGGATCAGTATGGGGAATATAGGTAAGAAGCCTGAAAGAACCAGCTGGCGTCTTACTATGTAGGGGCTTAAAGGATAAACTCACACTTTAGAGTCATGGAAGGAATAGAGAGAAAAGAAGATCTAGTTTTCAATAACAATAAAAAAGAAAATGTAAATGAATGAGTTATAAGTGGGTTTTTTTTTTTTTTTTTGGAGATGAGGGTCTCATTGTGTTGCCCAGTCTAGTCTCAAACATCTCCCAAGCATAATGGATTTGAAAGAGAAGATTTTAAGGTAAATTTCTAGGGCAGCAGATGATGTTACTATGTTTAGATTGTCACACTGAGGGAAGTGCAGTTCTAACAGGTTCCCAAGTGCTGCTAATGCTTCTTGCCTACGTTTGAGTAGCCAGTGTGAACCTGAACATCATGTCAGCCAGAAGAGAGCTTATTGGGAATGCAGAGTCCAGTTCAATGCTCCTGGATCAGAGTCTAACTTTAAAACAGGATCCCCAAATGATTTGTATGTACATTAAAGTTTAGAAAATACACTTGAATTTTGGCCTAGAAATCACGCTTTGCTTCCTGAGAAAACAGTTGTCTTGAATTGGAAATGGGGCCTAGCCTTTTTGTATTTTGAGGGAACTCGTTTTCTACTAATGTTTGTGTTGAGGGTGTAGAATTGTAAAGTCTAATAAAGAATGCATAACAAAAGCTGTTTGGACACCCAGAAGGGTTGTTAGAGTAGTACAGCTCAAGATTCGCCAGATGCTCTAGTAACTCTTTCAAGTGAAAAGTAATCAGTTTTCATATACATGTTTCTCAAATCCTCTTTTAGGAAGGCAGTACCCAATTTTATATCTGTCAGTTGCAGAACTCAGAAAAGCTGGTATTTCGTGTGATTTTCAATGAAATGCAAAACAGAGTTACATGTTACATAGCTATGACAGGATTTGAGTAAAGCTTTAAAATAATTCTTAGCTGAACATAAATGTAAGGATCGATTTCTTATCATACTTAGGGTACCATATTCATACTCATATTTAATGACGGTGTATCTTCCACAAACTCTTGGTGTCCTCGGAAAAATCACAGATAGGATTTGAATGTTGCTCAACATTATAAAGTCTTTTGAGTATACTATAAGCATGGATATTTGATATATTCATTCAGGAGGATTATGATGGTATTTAATTTAAGTAGGTGATATGCAGGGGACTGCTGTGGGTTACAGACATTTATTTCTTGCCCTTAAGATTCTCCCTATGGCCTCTCGCATCCCTCTGCTGGCCCTTCCCTCTGGTTTCTCCTTTACCCTTAGCTTAGCAGGTAGTTTACTATCTCTTTCTGTCTTGTTTTTCTTCTTTTGTCTTTATACATTTTCCCGGGGAAATCTCATATATGCCTGTGACTCGATCTACTATCATTTGTGTACAAAAACCACCTCAATCTAAATTTATAATCTAGCTCTTTCTTTTTTTCTTTCTCTTTCACTGGACTGACAGGCAGAACAGTGTCAAGGGTCAGGGCACAGACTGCCAGGGTTTGGGATCTCAACTCCAAACAGCTAGAATCTTGAAGACCTTATTTCTTTTGTGGCAGTTTCCTCATCTGTAAGGTGGATGTGGCAGTAGTTGCTTTCTCAGAGGATTAAGGTGAGAATTAAGGGAATTAATATTTGTAAAGGGTGTGGCACATAGTCTGTACTGTATAATGCTAGCTGGCCTAGCACCCACTCTAGTAGGGTCACTACCTGAATATCCCACACTTACTGCAAATTTCATTATGTTTAAAACTGAACTATTGACAGACCTACTTTTATCCTGGGTAATGCCCTCACCACTGCCACCTAAATTGCCAACCAGTTCTGGAACATGTCTCCCTCCTCCTCCACTCCAGTGTCCAGCTGGGCCCTGGAGTGTACCTAACCCTGCCGCCGTAATTTGCATTACTGCCCTCTTTTCTGTCTCCATCGTTGCTGTCCTGGTTCCCGTGTTCATCCTCTTCACCCGAACTGTGTCAGTAGTCTGCCTGGTCTTTTTGCCGCCCTATTCACCTCTCCACACTGTTGCGTCCATTTGAAGAGCAAATCTGATCTTATTGGTTCCTTTACTTAAAATCAATAAATTGCCAGCTGGTTAAAAATCCAACCCACGCTCTCCACTGGGGTAATTTTGTGCCTCCCCTATTAGCACGCGCAGCCTCCCCCCGCCCCCATCTAACAATATCAGGCGTTGTTGTTGTTGTTGCTGCTGCTGGAGGTTGCTGTGGATGTCTGGTGGGTAGAGACCAGAGATGTCACCAAACAGCCTACAATGCACAGGACAGCCCCCACAAGAAAAGAATCATCCAGCTGAGAAAGTCAGTAGTGTCAAGGTTAAGGAAACTCATCTTAGAGCACATCGTCTGGGGTCCTGCCCTTGGCTCTGAATCTTCAGTTGCTATTTGACATCCACCCACTGCTCCAGCCTCCCTGGCTTATTACAGGCCCTGCTCTTCCTGAGTCTTCATACATGTGGTCTGGAGCTAGATAAAAGTTGAGGCAGTTTCTAGTACCATCTCTCTTTTTTCTATAGGTCTTTTTAAAGCCAGCTTCCCACCTCTCTATTCTGCTCTTTTTATCTGAAACCCATAATGACTTCCTCAGCTTGCTGCACAGCCTCCTGGTTCAGCTCCTGGGCCTTATTACCTTGGGCCCAGCTGCTGCCAGCACAGTTGCTTCATAGTTCCCCCTTCTTCAGGTTCTTGGAAGTGATTGGTTCCTAGAAGATGGACTGGCACCTGGGATTTTAAGCTTAGTTCTGGCACTTGCCATTCTGAGAATTCACTTAAAGTTGATAAG